GTTGAGGATCTTGGACTCCACCTTGTTAAGCACAATGGACTTCAGCCACTTTTAATGGAAAACCGTGGACGCAGCTCCGCAAAATCATTATTTTTGACACCTTTTGCCCTAGGATAGTTTCTGATTATAGTAAGATGGATGTCAACAAAATGAAAAAGAAAGTGAAACAGGGCTTTGTGTTACAAGCAAAACATATACACTGAATTGACTTTTATTAAAAACTTGCTTCCATAAGCAGATGTTTTCCAGTTATCTTTCAAACACTTAACATGCACCCTTTGAGTTGGGAAATCTTGAACAGAGGTTAACATTTTACTACTTATTGATTACATTTGGTTTGAAGGCCCTTCATCTGGTTAATCCCCAGATTGGCTTTACGCTCCTGGGGACCAAAAAAGTTAAAGCATTCTGTAAACTTTGGTGACACGAAGAAACATTTAATATCTTGTCAGAGCTGAAGCTTTGACATGTTGACAGTGGTCAGAGAAGAATAACAGAATGGCTGCATATAATGACAACTGTGATTTGAATTAGCTTTAAGCACTTTTTTGTTGCATTATATTGAACAATGGAGACTGAAATTGATTGCGATATGAACCCAATGACACTGTGGCAAAGCACAATTAATGTCTCAGGCAGGTCATCCTCAGTAAACATAGGATCCAAATTCTAATTTTGATTATTGGAAGTCAATCTAGCTTGGCAGGTGGTTCCTTGTTAGAATCATTTTCAACCTTTCACCTCTTAAGAAAGAACATACATATGAAAAATAAGTGTTCCTATTGAGTAATCTTATAATGTTGGATAATTCTGTGATAAATACATGGATATTTGTATTCCCAATCTTGTATTTGTGTTGATTCTGTGTTGCTAGGCAACCTAACCTCTGATTTAAGGACATGATTGTGTTGCCAGATAGAGTTAGGACGTGAGTACAGAAACAGGAATTTGTATTAGTTTGTTCAAGTTAGTTGCCAGGTGAACCATGGATAGCATGATGTAATGGGGATATCTGATACATGCAGAAATGTGTTTTCTCTGTGAACTAGGAGGCGGCAAGATCCTGCAGGGGATTCATAGTCAATTTCACCATGAGTTTGTGATCAAAAGAAAAATGAAAGCAAATGAAGTGAAAGATCAATGCTTACAAACCTATGTAAGTGTACAAGGAAAAAATTAAAAGGCTTCAAAGCAAAGAGAACAGATTTGCTATTGGCAAAATCAAAGAGCATTAACTAATGCCTACAACTTTTCTAATTTCTTACATTTCCAAGTATATCATATTAATTATCCTTCACATATATGAAGATTATCCCCTGGCCTCTCACCAACATCTTCAATACAACATCTTCAATAAATCCTTTATTGTTCTGTGAAGTCATCTATTACTCTAATGGATGAGTTGAATATTTATATTTAATTAAAAGAAAATCCCTCTACATAATGCTGGGTAATACACCAGGCCCAGAGCCTCAGCCATGCTAATCATACTCCTTCTGTTACATGTTCCTATATGGATTGGCCACTCTCTGGGTGAATTATTGGCCATTAGCACAAGCTGTGGTGGGAGACAGGATAATAGATATTTCTATCAGATAGAGGGGCTGCCTCGTTTACACATTTACACAATTAATTGAGCCAAAAGCAAACTAAGTTTTGGTCGGATTTGATTGTGGAAAGTTTTGTCCTAAGGTTCCTGATTTTTGTTTTATGAAGTAAATTGAGTTATACATGTTTGTTTGTTTTTTTTTTTTTACTTTTGATCCTTTTCTGGTTAAACATGGTTTATCACTTGGTTTGTTCTTGGTGTGCTTCATATCAACTATAAGTGTACACTCGCTGTAATTTTATGATTTCTCAGATGATGTTACCCTATAAACTCTTATGAAGTGCCTAGGCAATATTCTTAATGGGATCTTGTTGTTTCTGTACCAGATAATCACAAGTTAAATTAATTATAAGTGTTTTGACACAGAGGTTATTTAATCAGCAAGGAGGTGCCGTATTTGGCTACTTATAACAGCCATATGGCACCTATGGTCTAAACAGCAGGGAGATCTATAGATCATGAGTCTGGCGACATTAAACTAATAACATTAATTGATTTGTCTACATGTTTGATACCAAAGTTTATGTAGTTTGTGACTAGGATTAGCAATTAGTGCAGAAAAGGTTAGCTTCTTGGGATTTAAATAGGCTACGTTGATATCTGGCAATTTATGATACAGATGTAAGATCCTGGCAAATGTCTGCTTTACCTGAACTCAGGTGAGACAAAGCAGAGGATATATAACATATTGCACATTTCTCCACAACACAGGTATCTCACATTCCATAGTCATAGTTCACAAACAGTTGCAAAAACATTTCCATGCCTTATGGATACCTGGACCTACATGATAAGCATGACTATGATCCGCCCTGAGAAAACAACATGTTCTCTCATCTCCAGGGAAGAAGTCATTACAGATTCATACTCTGAAGTCATACTGTTATCAGTATTTTNCAGGGAAGAAGTCATTACAGATTCATACTCTGAAGTCATACTGTTATCAGTATTTTATTTATTCATTTTTTTACAAAATCATGATTTTTCCTCGTGCCTTGAAAATTTGGTGAAATAGTACCATGGTAATTTATTTATATATGTTTGTATAGCAAATTAATTGTTTATTTTGCTTATTGGGAACTTTTAATTTGCCGACATGAACCTTCAGCCAGCTACTTGGATGCTGTTGAAGAGACAGGCAATGCCAAGTATAGACAGGGCTGTTCAGTTGGAGACTGAAAATTACATTTGCACAATAATTTCTGTCAGTAGATATGAAACTACATTATGCATAATAGAACAAGCTTATCCTATCAAGGTCCAATCATAGGAGCTCTGAAGGGTAATGGGGAAATGGTATTAATGATGTGTTTGATTATGGTGTATGTTCACAAATTGTCATAAATATATCATCCTGATGATTCAGCTGTCATTAAACAGGGATGAAAAAAGCCAGCTCTGTATCAGCATGTACTTTTCAGTCAGTTTCTCTTTCACTGTCCATGCAGACATCAAAGACTTTCTTAAATACATAAACTAACCACACCTAAGACATTTCACCAGTCAGGTATAATAAAAAGCCCTGGTAATGCATCTCCTGGTTTACTTAGTGAAGAAGGAAAGTAATGAACCGTGGCTAAATAGAAGCTGAAGGGTTCAAATACATATAAGCTCTTTTACCAGAGGTTGTGCTAGAAGACAATAAAGTAGAGAAGTCTTTTTACTTTAATCTTTGATAAAAGGATGTATCCATTAAGTTTGGTACATATGGTTTGCAATTTATCTATCTGTCTAAACATACCCCATAAAAGAAATATGCATATACTAATTCATCATCTTTTAGAGCTCCTGTTAAACAGAAAACACCAGTCTGGTACTGTAAATACACAGGACAAGCTACCTGGATCACTTTTAATAGCTTTTGGATGTGCCCTGTGGCATGACTCATGTACTTATTCTGGAGAGTTTTACAGGGTTCAAAGCACTTAATTATTCCCATGAGAAATTGTTTGTTCTTGGACCCAAGGTACAAGAGCATTTTTGTGCCATTATATTTATAAATGCCAAAAGTCGTCCATATTTATATGAGCGTATGGATTACTATTGCTAAAATGTTAGGATTCTTGTATACGTCTTGATATGTTCTTGAAGTTGATTTATTTATGATAGTTCATTTCATATCAAATGATAAAAAATGAAATAAAATAGATTTTAATAATAAGAGCCTAAATTGTTGCTGTAATAAGTTAAAAATGAGTTAAAATGTCTTTTTAGTTCTCCTGGCATTGAGTAGAATACAGAAAAACTTGTGATTATATGAGTACGTCGGAAACAAAAGAAGGCATGTTAAACTGATAGCATTCAACAAAATTCCCCATTGAGTTGGATCAATGTACATAGATAGTTTCATTGGGAATAAGCCCTAACATAATCCTTGTCTGACCAGACCATCATCTGTACCTAGTTTTCCTCTTATATCAGGTGTTAGAATTGTGATGGATGGTTCTATTAAAAGGTTGACTGGCCCATGCTGTCCAGTCTGCCAAAACTGATTCAGTTCTCCATCCATGCATTGCCTGTTATAGCCCTCTGTAACCTTTCCTGTAACTCTGACATTTTCCTGGAGAGGATTGGAATATCTGATCTTTCATCCCAGACAGATCAGGTCTGCAGGTCTTTTGATGGGACCTGCAGGTCTTATGGTGGAAGTGAATTAAAATCCTAGAATAAGATGATGTCTGTGGTTTACTCTGTTTACTATTAAAATATTCCTGTACAGATAATTCTTTTTTCAATTCTTACCTTGGTACCTCTATCTAGGCCTTTACACATTAATTGAAATGCTTGATATTATTCAAGTCTATCTTTTGCATATCTAGGCATATCTATTAATCTTCACAAGTCCAAGGTGAAGGCTTGTATCAATCTTTCTCTAAATAAGGCCAAAAACAGAACATATGTTGAAGGGTGTGAAACAAAGCTCTTGAATACTTTTGAAACACCTTGATCATCCCAAGCTACCAAAATGGCACAGTGTGTCTAAATATTTAAGGGTGGTGAATAAACATGGTGCCACTTTGCAGATTTCAGAAAAATTTGACTGCAGTATTTTTTTTATTATATCTTTCCCAAACAACATTTTAAAAAGTTCTTGACGGACCTTGAAGTTACCTGGATTTTTTATAAAATTTTTGAAAGTTTTATATGCAAATTCAACCTCTCTTTCTTATAACACAAACATCAGATTTTTTCTGAAACTGAATAACAAGAATGACAAATATAAAAAAAGATTCTACTGCAACAAAGAAATCAGGGTTCTTCTGATGGGATAAATGGGATATGCACGAATACTGTTTAATGAAAGTTGCAAGTATGTAAAGATTTTATAAAAATTATAATTGGGTTACTTTTTTCTTTTCCAGTTATTTCAAGACCTTGGGACAGAGGTGCTACAGTCTGCCTATGAAGGGTACAATGCCTGTGTGTTTGCTTATGGACAAACAGGGACAGGGAAGACATTCACCATGATGGGGGACCCTGTAAGTAGCAAGGACTTGAGCATCAATGTCTTAAACTTTGGAAAGTTATTTTAACTATTCATTCCAAGTTTCCAAAGCATGAGTTGATTTTTTTTGTTCTAAAAATATCTCAGCAGACAAATGTTCACACTAGGAATTAGTGTGCTTCTGTGATGAAGTGATTTCTAAAAGGTGATGCATCCACGGTTCAGCTTAAACCTTGTCCTTGTCCTGTCTCTTCACTAGCACCTCTTGGGTCATTTTAGTGTCATATAAAGTGTAAGTTAAGATGAAATGCAAATTTATGATAATACACTCAAAATTTGATTTAAATTTGTCCACCTGAAACACTCAGCATCCATTAAAAATACAGCTCTGTTTGTGAAAAGTTTGGAATGGATACAGATTGACACAGTGAATTTTAAGCAAAGGCAGCAACCCTTTGCTCAAATTACTGCCAGACACATAGAGTGGACACTGTATGTCCAGCTGATTGAGTAGCAGTGTAATTTACTTTGGCTTATCTGTGTGGCTTTAAGGACTGTAGGAAGGTAGATAGCAAGGAGGAAGACTGCTTGATGACTTCATTTCCTGGATTCAACTGCCTTGTTAATGAGATTGTTGAATAAAGACGGTCATTGCAACACAGGGGGAGAATTTACTGTTATATTTTAAAATTATCTTTTAAATACTGTGGAATAGAATATTAAGTACAGAGATATATGACAAAAACTTTCATTGTCCAGATTACATTATATTAGCACATATTAATATTAAAAAATGGCAGTTATTGCATGTCATAGGAAAAACTGTAGGGTTATTTCAGACAGTGTATACAGGAAATACAAACAATGCTTGTGTGGCATTTGCTGATATTGTTTTGGTACAGGTAGAAAGATTTGTTGTATAAACTTACCTTGAGAATAAACAATGGAAACTCTGCCTTCATTTTTTGCTCAAATTTCACAGATAAGAGCAGCTGTAAGCATCATATAAGGACTGAAAGAATCTTTAACTTGTAAGATTTGATGAGGATTATATTTGTCATTTCCTGTGGCTAATTCTAATATTTCAATAAGTCACAAGTCAGGGTTTCTTATCAGTTTCTTATTTTTTTAATTAAGAATAAAGCCTGCCTTATCTTTTGTTTATTGTTGGATTGTAATTACAGATTGAATTGACTGTATTGTTAATTTGGTATTGTCTTTCTTTCATTTCAGGAACAAGTTGGCCTAACACCAAGGATATGTGAGGTAATTTATATTCTAACTATAGATAAAGCATATTTCAAGAGTTATCCAATTTAATTCCAAGTGATAGATAAGTAAGTTAGATTACTTATCATTCTACTGTATCTGATGGCCACAGTTCTTGTCCTTTTTTTATTCATCCAGTATTTTACTTTTAAAATATTTTCCATAAAAAAAACAGATGATACACATATTGATGTTAATATTTTCCATTTTAGGGCCTTTTTGCTCGTATGGATGACACAGATGAAGGAGAACATATTTCATACAGGATAGATGTTAGGTAGGGAGAAGAAGGAAAAACAAGGTTGTAACAGAAGTGTATCGCCTCACCCAAACCTGAATATTATTCATGGCCTTGGATTTTTCTTTTAAGATCAATACATATCAGTTGTCTCCATTAGCACACTTGTGTTAATCAAAACTTAAAGAAAAGAGCCATATCCTAAATATAAGTAACTCAGTTGTCAAATGTGCATAAAGATTTCTAAATTGACATGATTTTTGTTCTGTTTTTATTTCAGTTACCTTGAAATTTACAATGAGCGTGTTCGTGATCTTCTTGCCCATCCACTTTCAAAGCATCATGAAAAATATACTCTCAAAGTTCGTGAACACCCAAAGGACGGTCCATACGTGCAGGGTAAGGGCTGGGACAAGAGAACAAAACTAATGGCGCAATTCTTTCTGCCATTATTATAGCAAAACTGTCTGCCATGATCTAGATATTGGTGCATTTTCAGATAGGGTTAATTGTATATCTGAATGAAAGAAAGAAAAGGAAGGAACCACATCTGATTCTATTACAGCTCTTTAAAACGTTGGAGGAAAGAACATTGTGGCTGATCAGAAGTTTTCTTTCTATTCCTGCTTTATTTTGTATGCTTGCATAGAAAAATTCATTGCATATGTCGATTGTTTTTCTCTAAAAAGCAAATAAAACTTTGCAAAAAAAAATTGCTACAAAGAAAAAATATCTTTTGGAATCTGTACGCACCACATAAGGTTGTCTGAGAAGAATTGATTCGAATTTAACCATTTTGGCCTGGCCAAAGTGTAATTTTTTTTATTAGAAATAATGTGCCTAGGAAATTCAAGTCACATTGTGAACGTTTTCACATGTCAGTTTAATAGCAAATCAAGGTCATTATTCTTTTTTGTTAATGTGAAAAGCATGAAATTGTTATTATGAGTTTGAATGTCATTTCAGTAGCATATAATGCAATGCAAGTGGTAAGTGCAATTTGGTGGGCCAAACATTAAGTAACTTGTCAATTGCTCCACATGCAGAACTCTGTTTTGAAATAGTTTGGAAAATGTTCCGGGACTGGGTAAAAAAGTAATTGTGAAGGCATGAACTATTTTTGTCAGCAGTATTACATACAAGAAAGGAATTTGTGGACTTTAGTCTGATCATTGGTAGGCTTTGACGCAAGAAATTGGTCTTTTTTCAGAAGTCATATGGTTAGTTGGCCAGAAAATAATTAAAACCATCCTCAAAGTTTGGGGATTTTTAGTATGTTTTGTTTGGTTGCTATAGAGAAATATAATGAAGTGCACATATTTCAGCTTAAGGATCTTCAAGTAACCAAATGGAGGGTAGTTAAATACGTATGATTTGCTAAGATTAATATGACATTTTACTATATAGTGGAGAAGTATTGTTATAAAACCAGGGCTTTCTTGATATAAAGCACATTTTTTTTTTTTTTTTTTCCTGTCCAGCATAAATCACAAAAGCCATAAAGCCATGAAAAATACACAATGCCATTGTTTCCTTAGCACTGTCAATATTACCCTGATACACTAGAAAAGAATAAAAATGCAAATACATTTTAATTGTAGGGCTTTTAAGAAATTATATACCTCTCCAGCTGTTATTATTAAATGAAAATGCCTTTTAAGTACTGCAGTTACAACAACATGCAGAAAGATGTGATATGCATCTACTATATTTCTGTTTATAGTGAGCTATGCTATGCCCCTGCATTCATCTTACTAAGTATACATAAGGAATAGAAACAAACAAAATATTTGTGCCTTTTGTTTGAGGAATTAATATATATCAAATTATAAATAGATATATTTCTGTAGTTTGTAGTTGTTTGCAATTTTCTTTTAGGTATGCATTACATGTAATATTTTATGACAAAAATATGCTTATTTACATGACAAATTTCATTTTTACATTTTTAGATCTGTCTAGACATTTAGTCAAGGAAAACCAATCCATTCAAGCATTAATCGAAAAAGGCAATGAAAACAGGTAAGTTACCCCCTAATTTTCTCCTAGGCTGCATGTTATGAAGCAAAATGATAGGGGGCAAACCCTCCTTCACCCCCCCCCCCCCCCCCCCCCCCAAGAATACCATCTTTCCTTTTCACAGTTTTTAGAGGTTAAAATCTTAAAGAAAAATTGCTGTCAACAATAACTATGAAAAAAAAGCTATTTTGAGATAGTTCAAGGTCCCATTGCAGCAATCATTTATCCAAAACCATTTTAGCTCTAGGAAGTAGACAGACTGTATATGAATGTCTGGGTCATGCTGAGGAGGCTGTTTTCTTCTATTAATCCACCCATCGGCTTATTGTTCCAACATCTCATATATCTAGGATTACATTCGGGAGGGGTTTAAATAAACCTTTTTCCTGGTGATTGTCCAAGATCTTTTTAGGGCTTGGCCTTAGAAGGACAGGAGACCTCCTTGATGTCAGCTGTTTTTTTTTTTCTGGCACACTTGTACTTTTTACAAGGGAAAAAGAATTCCAAGGACAACCTTTCTAAAACTTCAGTCATATAAGGAAGGGATTCGATGCTATGTTATATTTATATGTTTTTTGCAAAAAGGAAATATCAAATCAATATGAATTTAATTTTGCTTAGTGCAATAAAACAGTAAGGTTATACAGTACATTTTGTTAACAAAAGAAACTCATGAGGTATATTGTATTCTGCATAAAAGAAGCAAAGTTTACCCAGGGAGCTTGGTTTGACTGACAAGTGCTAACATTGCAAATAAGTACAAAGATATCCCTTGGGAGTTTAGTGGTTGGATGGGTTAATTAGATAGTCACATAATTAAGGAAAGATCTTTACATATCTCCTGGAATAACTCTCCAAATCTCCAAATGGTTTAAAAGGTGTCAAATTTGACTCACATGTTACATGTCATTTTCACATGTAACACGTAGACACCGTTATTTAAAACATGATTTTGCAAAACGGTACACCAAACATTTGTGTCTACCGTAGGGTGATTAATAAGCATGATGAAGACAGTGGCACCACAGGTAGCCAGGTAAATACCTGATTAAATGCCACTGATGGAAATACCTTTTTACAAGACAAACCCTGTTCTCTTGATGGCTGTATGCATTGTGTACATAGTCTTTGTCACTGTTGAATGTGGGCAGTGTGAAATATATTGATCCTGTGGGGAAACTAGAGCTTGATCAAGTAATTGCTATTGTTGGTTTGGGGAAATTACTAGGAAAGTTCCTTGGAAAAATGCATTCACTGCCTGGAAATGTTTCCTGGATTGGTGTAATTGCCGCTGTTGCATTTGTCCAGTGTTATAAGCTTCCTGTACGTTTGTTAGTGTGATTGTAGAGTAGATTGACAGGAAGACTAGATGAATTAACACTTGTTTTATTTTTTATGTACAGACACAGATGTGTCTGTACATATTGCCATCACCTGCGTCTGTCGTCGCCGTCGCCGTCGCCGATGCCGATGCCGGCGCCGTGCAC